GATAAAGAGATTTGTCTAGAACAAAGGGCTTGAAACAGGCCAGGCCTCCTTGCTGTATTGCTAGCAAAGACAGAGACAGATATATAGATTTTATAAACTATTGGGTTCATTTTTAAACCCAAACATTCTATATTTCTAAAATTTCTTACCACATGCACCCCACACATTTTCTCAGATACATTGAAATGGAAGTTAACAATTCATATATATAAGCTTATATATGAGCTGTTAACTTCCATTTCACTGTATCTGAGGAAGTGTGCTTGCACACGAAATCTCATTTTGAATAAACTTTTGTTGGTCTCAAAGGTGCCTTGCTGGACTCAAAATCTGTTATGCCGTTTCAGAGGATAATTGTGTTGATCTGTAATAGAACAACTCGATTAAGTCCAGTAGCAACTTAGAGACCAACCAAATGTTCAAGGTATGAGCTCTCAAGAGTCAGAGCTCCCTTCATCTGACTCTTCAGCTTTGGCACTCCAAAGATTATACCCCTCAAATCTTGTGGGTCTCTGGAGTTCTACCAGACTCATGTCTAGCGGCAAATACGTATAGCTATTAAGTATGTTTAGCCGGGGAAAGAGAAGGCTTAGAGGGGACATGATTGCAGTCTTCGAGTCATGGAGAAGATGGAGCAGGTCTATTCTCTCTTGCTCCAGTTTGCGGGACTAGATCTAATGGGTGGAAATGACAAGGGAGTCGATACCAGCTAAATATCAGGAGAAACTTCCTAACTGTAAGAGTGGTTGAGCAGTGGAACAGACTGCCTTGGGAGGGGGTGGATGCTCCTTCGCTGGACGTTTTCAAGCGGAGGCTGGACGACCACCTTTCGGGTATGTTGTAGGGCTCTCTTTCAGCTACGCTCCTGCAGAGTGCAGGGGGTTGGAGTAGATGACCTGCAAGGTCCCTTCCAACTCTAACATTCTATGATTCTATGATTCTAAGTGCAAATGACTCGATGGATTCCCCTTCTGGCAATTTGTTTCCAGTTCCAGTTCACTCTGATGTCTTCTCTTGCAAGGGTTGGGTAGGATGCCAAAGTCCTACAATGAATGCTTCAGCCCCTCCACCTTCCTCCTCACCGGCATCCCTCAGCTGGAGGAAGCCCACCTGTGGTTCTCCATCCCCTTTTGCCTCCTGTACACCGTCGCCGTGGTGGGGAACTGCACCGTCCTCTTCATCGTCAAGACCGAGGCCAGCCTCCACGAGCCCATGTACCTCTTCCTCTCCATGCTGGCCGTCATCGACCTGGTCCTCTCCTCCTCCACCATGCCCAAGCTGCTCAGCATCTTCTGGCTGGACGACCGAGAGATCGGCTTCCACGTGTGCCTGCTGCAGATGTTCGTCATCCACTCCTTCGCCACCATCGAATCCGGGATCTTCCTCGCTATGGCTTTCGACCGATACGTCGCCATTTGTGCTCCCCTGAGGCACAAGACTATTCTGACGCATCGAATCGTCGCCCAGATCGGGCTGGCGGCCACCCTGCGGGGCTTCCTGTACATCTGCCCTCTACCCCTGCTTGCCAGGCGGTACACGTCCTTCCACACCAACGTCATTGCTCATTCCTATTGTGAGCACATGGCTGTGGTCATGCTCTCCTGTGAGGACATCTTTTATTTATTTTTATTTATTTATAATTTCAATTTATAGCCCACCCTCCCCGCGATGCGGGCTCAGGGCGGCTCACAAATAGGCATACGCCAACACATAAAAACAATTAAAACCATAAAAACCATTATTACAGAATTACAACATATTAAGTGCTCTAGATGTTGGTGTAGTGCCTAGTGCCAGTTTGGTGTAGGTGGCTAAGTGCGCAGACTGTAATCTGGGAGAACCGGGTTCGATTCCCCACTCCTCCATTTGCAGCTGCTGGATGACCTTGGGCATGCCCTAGTTCTGACAAGAGCTGTCCTTGAAAAGGAGCCGTTTCTGTCAGAGTTCTCTCAGCCCCACCGACCTCACAGGGTGTCTGTTGTGGGGAGGGGAAGGGAAAGGAGTTTGTAAGCCGCTCTGAGATTCCTTTGGGTAGTGAAGGGTGGGGTATCAATCCAATCTCTTCTCTTCTTCTTCTTTGGGGATATGAGATGAAAGTGATGGATTTTGTCAAGCAGATGGGTTCCAGAAGGGATCGCCAGAGGTAATGGCGTTCCTTTAAGTTTGGGATGTGGGGTTTATCTTCCCGTTGGACATTTCCTTTGGGGCACAAGAATGAGTGGTCAGGTTTAGTTGTGAAGCAAGAGATGGTTTGGTGTCGTGGCCTAGAGTGGTCTAGGCACAATTCAAAGTGCTGGTCTTGGTGCTGAATAGTTTAGTTCCAAAGCCCTTGAAGGGACATCTGCTCTTTGTGAGTCTGCCCAGTGTTTTAGAAGAGCCAGCGAGGTCTTCCTTCAGGTGGAAACTAGGAACAACGCTTCACTAGGCGTCCCAGTCGCATGGGACTCCCCCTTGACTGATCACTCTCCTCTCTTAGTATTTTTTGGAGGCCACCGGAGTTTTTCTGACCAGAGTTTCTGATTTTAGGCTTTATGATCCAGATCGTCCAGTTCCATAAAGACTCTGTGCTGACAACAAACATATGTTCCTGCTTTTGTTTGTAAGTTTATAATGCTTTACAATGGTTTTATTCTAAATATTTTGATGTGAACTGCCATGCATATGAATTCTATGAAATAAGGGAAGGTTAGGGGATGCTTATAAGGGAAGACATAGAGGGGATGCTTATCATATTTGCAGATCTATTCTCTCTTGCTCCGGATTGCAAGACTAGGTCTAATGGGTGGGAATGACAAGGGAGTCGATATACCGGCTAAATATCAGGAGAAACTTCCTAACTGTAAGAGTGGTTGAGCAGTGGAACAGACTGCCTCGGGAGGTGGTGGAGGCTCCTTCGCTGGACGTTTTCCAAGTGGAGGCTAGACAACCATCTTTCGGGTATGTTGTAGGGCTCTCTTTCGGCTACGCTCCTGTAGAGTGCAGGGGGTTGGACTAGATGACCTGCAAGGTCCCTTCCAACTCTAATATTCTATGATTCTATGATTCTATGATTCTATGATTCTATGATTCTATGATTCTATGATTCTATGATTCTATGATTCTATGATTCTATGATTCTATGATTCTATGATTCTATGATTCTATGATTCTATGATTCTATGATTCTATGATTCTATGATTCTATGATTCTATGATTCTATGATTCTATGATTCTATGATTCTATGATTCTATCCTCACCGGCATCCCTCAGCTGGAGGCAGCCCACGTGTGGTTCTCCATCCCCTTCTGCCTCCTGTACACCGTCGCCGTGGTGGGGAACTGCACCGTCCTCTTCATCGTCAAGACCGAGGCCAGCCTCCACGAGCCCATGTACCTCTTCCTCTCCATGCTGGCCGTCATCGACCTGGTCCTCTCCTCCTCCACCATGCCCAAGCTGCTCAGCATCTTCTGGCTGGACGACCGAGAGATCGGCTTCCACGTATGCCTGCTGCAGATGTTCGTCATCCACTCCTTCGCCACCATCGAATCCGGGATCTTCCTCGCCATGGCTTTCGACCGATACGTCGCCATTTGTGCTCCCCTGAGGCACAAGACTATTCTGACGCATCGAATCGTCGCCAAGATCGGGCTGGCGGCCACCCTGCGGGGCTTCCTGTACATCTGCCCTCTACCCCTGCTTGCCAGGCGGTACACGTCCTTCCACACCAACGTCATTGCTCATTCCTATTGTGAGCACATGGCTGTGGTCATGCTCTCCTGTGAGGACATCTCCATCAGCAACCTTTATGGTATGATAATTGGTTTCTTGGTGCTTATCATTGACTCTCTGTGCATTGGATTGTCCTATTTTCTCATCTTCCAGGCCGTGATGAGCTTGGCCACCGTGGAGGCCCGTCTCAAGGCCTTCAGCACGTGTTCCTCACACGTCTGTGCTATTCTGGCCTTTTACATCCCCATTGTTGTTTCCTCCATGATCCATCGGTTTGGCCACAATGTGCCTCCCCCGGCACATACCCTCCTGGCCAACTTCTACCTCATCATTCCGCCCGTCTTGAACCCCATCGTCTATGCAGTCCGGACCAAAGAGATCCGACAGAGGCTGGCAAAGATGCGGTCCTTCGGCAGGGGAGGCGTCAAAAACCTTGTGTAAGCCTTCCCTGTATGGAGAGAGCCTGTATGGTGCGGTGGTTAAGAGTGGCGGATTCTAATCTGGACAACCAGGTCTGATTCCCCACTCCTGCTCATGAAACCAGCTGGGTGGCCTTGGGCCGGTCACAGTTCTCTCAGAGTTCTCTCAGCCCTACCTGCCTCACAAGGTGACTGTTGTGGGGAGAGGAAGGGAAGGCAATTGACAGCCGCTTTGAGACTCCTTAGGGGAGAGAAAAGCGGGTATAAAAACCAATTCTCCTCCTCCTCCTCCTCCTCCTCCCTCTACCTCTCTGTATGCTTCAAGTCTGAACATAAGTGACCTACCAGAGGTGTGAAGGAATGATTCAGTTAACTCAAGAAAGGTTTTAGTAACTGAATAAAGATACTCTGAAAGCCGTAAATGAACATAATATGGGGAATTTGGACAGTGGCTTCCTGTGTACATGGTCCATGCACACCCAGTCACATTTAACTGAACGTACAATGTGCATTGGCATATCTGCATGTGGTCTGAGCACTTCCACATGCCAAAATGTGCTGTTGGAGTTCAACATCTTAGTTTCCTGGGTTGTTCCTGTTAAATCTTCCGTCCGTGCTGTTTAGTCCCCGTCTCTTGCTGTGTTTTAGCTGAGAAACACCAGCAATTGATCTTTCCCACCCCTGATTTCAGTGTGTTGCAACTTTTCTTCTAGTTATATATACATACATGATCAAAAGGGATGAATCAATAAAGTATTTTTATCTGATAGAAATTGTTCTGGTTATTAACTACTTTCCACTGAAATCCTACCAGGCCTGCATTTGATATAAGAGAAGAACGCCAACATTTACTTTTTTGGAGAAGGTGGCTTTGTGAAGACAGTTCTGGATTTTGATAGATCAAGATGGGTAACTGTGTGAGTCTTTCTGTAGCAGTAGATAAGAGCCAGAATCCAGGAGCACCTCAAAGACTAACCCAATTTGTAGCAGGGGAGGAGCTTTCGTGAGTCACTGATATGAAAGACCTTTGTACCTTCCTAACTGGAACAGTCTGCCTCGGGAGGTGGTGGATGGTCCTTGGCTGGACGTCTTCAGGCGGAGGCTGGTCGACCCTCTTTCGGGTATGCTGTAGGGCTCTCTTTCGGCTCTGCTCCTGCAGAGTGCAGGGGGTTGGACTAGATGACCTGCAAGGTCCCGGGATCCTGGAGAGCTGCTGCCAGACTGAGTAAGAAGGAGGGAGGCTAAAGGAAAAAGACCAATGAAACCACAAACAAATCTGTAGTCAAAGTGTGTGTCAAGGTTTCTCTCTCTCACCCCAGTCCAGGGGTGGGGAGAGAAACCAAGCGTTCAAGAACAATTAAACAAATGCCAGGAGAATGTCTGTACACTCTCCAGGCTTTATCAGTAGTCTGCCACCAGGATCTCTCTTTAACTAGTTTCGCACCACAGCTCAGGAGCAGAGATCCCAAACTCCTTCTTGCTTTATTGGACGGAGCCACTTTACCAGCTCTGCACCAGGGCTGCAAACAGTTAAGTACCACAGTGGTAGCCTCTTTAGGCGAACGGCTTTAGACACAAGATTCAGTCTTAGAGATCAGGTTGCAACAGAGGAAACATGTTCAGATAATATTGATTATATATTATCTTTATTCAGTGCAGAAGCATGCATATAACATGAGACTAGCAAAAGATAAGAAACAAAAGATATCTATAGCTTGTTCAGCTCTAGCTATACAATAGAGGTAGGTCATAGTTACCAGTTATATTATATGTATATCACACATATAATATTGTAGAATCACAAACATAATAAAGAATAATTATCCAAAAGTGAGTGGTAACAGACTCAAACCCACAATAACCCACAGCGTATCTCAAAAGTGGCAGACTGCCTTCATAAATAGAACAAGCATACAGAGGAAAATAAATTGTTTATATAAATATTACATGTCCTTGAATTGAAGTCCAAACATCTATATAACTGTGGCTTGTGGTAAATAACATCTGTTCCAAGTAGAAATGACGCAATCCAAGGTCTCACCAGGGAATCTTGAAGAGAAACCGCATGGTTTTGTGGGCAGCTACTCCAGCTTGGCTGCCTAACAGTCTCACTCCATGTTAACAGCAAACAGTCAATCCAAAAGAACTCTTGGTTTTCCAGAGAGGAATTCCCTTAACTCTCCTCTAGCTCCTCTGTTTCCCGTATGGATCATTCCTGATATACCTCCCCTCCGTCATTGCCAGGTATGGCCATTTACCCAATCTGCCTCCATTCCTGAGGATTGGAAGGTAGCTAATGTCACTCCCATCTTTTATGTTTTGATTGACTCGGAGTTGGGCATCCCACTCCAGCCTCTTCTATTGACCATGTGTCACATCAGGGAATGCCTTTGATGTGCAAATGTACTGGGCATAGTTCGTCCAGGCGCCGGCAATTCGCTCTCTCTTGGCAGAGGTGTCAAAGTGTCTTGTATATGGAGATGCGGTCTGGCCATCTGGCAAGCCATTTGCACAGGTGACAGGAATCACGCGGTCGTGTTACCAGCAAGGGCCATCTGGCCTAATCAGGGAGGATTTTAGAAAAGCCTTTTTCTAAACAGCGTGCTAAACAAATGCAACAATGATTATATGGAAAGCAAAGTCAACAATAATGCCAAACTCATGCATATAATATTGTAGAATCACAAACATAATAAAGAATAATTATCCAAAAGTGAGTGGTAACAGACTCAAACCCACAATAACCCACAGCGTATCTCAAAAACGGCAGACTGCCTTCATAAATAGAACAAGCACACAGAGGAAAAAAATTGTTTATGTAAATATTACATGTCCTTGAATTGAAGTCCAAACATCTATATAACTGTGGCTTGTGGTAAATAATATCCGTTCCAAGTAGAAACTATGCAGTTCCGGATGATATAATCAGCATTTCAGATCTATTCCTGCATCAGGTAAATCAGGTAAGTCTTCATTAACATACAATGAATACACATGTATAAGTGAGGTTCCGATTAAAATATTTCAATTAGGCACAGCTCCATATCTCTTGCAAGTCAACTTGCCTGGCGCCTGGTCACAATGGGGACTGTTTACTGCCTTGTGCACCCCTGGAGGAATAGCCGCTTGCCAACTGCCTGCCTTCCTCTTGGCGCTCCTTTTAAACTAGTGTGTCCCAGACGGTGGAGGTCTATGTAGTACAGAGAACTGCAGAAATGGGCAAAAATGCAAATCCTCTGTCCCTCTCTCTATACATGCCCTATCAGATGTTAGAAAACAGGACAGGCTCTTTAGCTTAGGAGTTCTATTTCTCTGCAGAGTCACCATTACCTTGAAGCTTGCTCCAGCTCTCTAGGTGAGCCAATGGTAAAAAATGGCTGCCTCCCCCCTGGACCTCAGCTAAGAGATCTGCCTCCTCTGATGGATCCAGTGTGAAAAAGCCCCTCTTCCTGCTGCAAGGAGTTTCTATCATATCTGTTTCTCCACCCACTGACCTGGTCACGCCAGGTCAAAGAGGCATTTCCTGGAGACTTTCTAGTATTCTAATCCTCCAAAATTCTGTTCCCTGCTTGGAGAACGGGGAGAGCTTGACCCACCTATTGTCTCCACCTAGACCTATTTAGCATTTCTTAAGCGGTAGGACTGACTTCCTCCTTCCCAGCCTGTTTTCTGCCCAGGGGGGAAGAACCCTGTTAAAACCCAAGGTGGAGGCTTTGCTCATCTCAAATCTCCCAGGGAATTTATTTATGCCAGCAAGACGGGGCTCTTCCACCAGGCTTTCAACTAGGAGCCACCCACCACTACTACCAATGAGCCGGCCCATAGTGCTAACATCTGGCTGCTACCACTGTGCTCAGGAAGATCACTGAATGGCATCTGTCTGGTTGTATGGTATCCCAGCGTGCCATCCTATGCATTGAATGTATCAACACTATCACTTTATGAGGTTCTTGTTTTATTGTTATTGAATTTTAAATTGTTTTTATGTGAATGAATGGTCATTTATAGACCAATTATGTAACCACTACACCAAGCTGGCTTACAAATTTCAGTGGGTACATTTGAAAAAACATTTGCAAACACAGATTCTTTTTTTAAAAAAGGCCATTAGCCATATTTTCAGGCCTTTTTGGTGGTTGGAGATATAGAAGCCAAAGAGCCACTGGAAGGAAGCCAACCCCCAGCGGGGCCATGAGGTCCCCCAGGGTGTGAGAAAGAAGCAGCATAAATGCTTCACACAAAAGGGGGGTGGAGACAACATTTCCTGGGGAGGGAGGACTTCAGGCACGACCACTTGGTAAGTCCAACGGGCAACCTTTCTGGAATACGTTTTAGTCCCACCTTCCAGCAAGAAGCTCCCAGTGACACACCTAGTCCTAACCGCTTCCATTTAATACACCCAACAGCCCTCATAGGTAGGCAGAGAGAGATCGACCGACCTACGCACTCCCAGTGAGTGTCACGGCAGTGGGGGCAAACCCAGTCCAGCCACCCTGGATTATCAGATGCTACTGGTGTAGTGGTTAGGAGCACGGACTCTAACTTGGGGGAACTGGGTTTGATTCCTCAGTCCTCCACATGCAGCCAGCTGGGTGATCTTGGGTCAGTCACGGTTCTCTCAGAGCTGTTCTCTCAAGAGCAGTTCTCTCAGAGCTCTCTCAGCCCCACCGACCTCACAGGGTGTCTGTTGTGGGGGAGGGGGAGGGAAGGCGATTGTAAACAGCTCTGAGACTCTGAGTAGAGGGTGGGGGGTAAGTCCAATCTCTTATCTTCTTCTGCTTTGTACTGTGACATGCTTGACCACTTGGGGTCTGCAGGGATGTCTGAAGGGTGTCCCATGTTCTCTGTGACATCTGGACTATGGCTGATTCCACCTCGTGCCCTCTTGCCTTGGGGTCCTTGCGGTTTCCTTACTACTTCGAACATGCTAGTGATGGTATCTGGTCTGCCGCCCTGGGCTCTCCTGACCTAGCAACTCAAGAAGAGCCCTCGATCCGGAGGGGTTTCTGGACTCAAGCCAAGCATGCCAGCGGGGGTCCTTCTCTGGAGGAGCAGATCAGGAGTCCAGACTAGCGCGTGGACCAGGGGACGTCTCCGTGGTGGAGAGATTTGGGGGTCTGCCTTTCTGCTTAGCTGTCCTTTCTGCTTCCTTCTCCTTTACTCAGCCTTCCCATGGATCCCCGTTCTCAACGCTCAGCTGTGGGTGAAGAAGGCGTTTCCACCCTTCCCATGCCTCCGGAAGCTGCCTGGCACTTGGAGGACGGTCCCTTCCAGGACTGACAGAAGGCAGCAGGTAACCCCTCCCTGGAAGACTATGAGGCACAGGTAGGGATGCCATTCTCCAGGTGGGGCCTGGGGATCCCCCGGAATCACAGCTCATCTCCAGACCACAGAGATTAGTTCCCCAGGAGAAAATGGGTGCTCTGGAGGGTGGACTCCGTGGCATTGTACCCCCCGCTGAGGACCCTGTCCTCCCCAGGCTCCATCCCCAAATCTCCAGGAGTTTCCCAGCCTGGATCTGGGAGCCCCCGCCCTCGGTCCCCACCTCCTCCAAACCTGGCAAGCCCAGAAGCCCCGATTCACTTGTTCCACTCCTGGGCCTGCCTTCTCTTCCTCCCAGCTGGTTGGTGTCACCGTGAGTCTGGGGTGCTCACTCAGTTGGGGAAGAGGGTTAGGAGTGCCGCAGGTGAGAACAAAGTGATTCATTTTGGGTATCTGAAGAAGTGAGCCGCGACTCACGAAAGCTCCTCACGAGAGCCAGTCTGGTGTGGTGGTAAGTGCGCGGACTCTAATCTGGGAGAACCGGGTTTGATTCCCCCACTCCTCCACTTGCACCTGGCTGGATGACCTTGGGCAAGCCGTAGTTCTGACAAGAGCTTGAAAAAGAGCAGTTTGTGTCAAGAGCTCTCTCAGCCCCACCTGCCTCACAGGGTGTCTGTTGTGGGGAGGGGAAGGGAAAGGAGATTGTCAGCCACTCTGAGACCCCTTCGGGTAGTGAAGGGTGGGGGGTATACATCCAATCTCTTCTTCTTCTAGTCTACCTTGGGGTCATTTGCCGTAGAGTGGAGGACGTCGTCATTTTCTTTTTAGAAGCCCCCATGTCGGCTTTTTAGCCTTGTAGCTGCTGTTGTAGATCCTAGTGAATGGGCTGTATCAAGAAACAGTCTTGTATAAGCCACGTTCCTCTCGAAGTTCGGAAGAGTCCCACTACCATCTCCAGTTTGGTGTGGTGGTTAAGTCCACGGACTCTAATCTGGGAGCACCGGGTTTGATTCCCCACTCCTCCACTTGCAGCTGCTGGATGACCTTGGGCAAGCCGTAGTTCTGATAAGAGCTGTTCTTGAAAAAGAGCAGCTTCTGCCAGAGCTCTCTCAGTCCCACCTGCCACACAGGGTGTCTGCTGTGGGGAGGGGAAGGGAAAGGAGTTTGTAAGCCATTCTGAGACTCCCTTGGATAGTGAAGGGCCATGGGGTATAAATCCAATATCTTCTTCTCTTCTTCTTCTCCTCCCCTGCCACAAATTCTGTTAATCTTTAAGGTGCTACTAGACGCTTGCTCACTTTGGGGGTAAGAGATGAAAGTGACAGATTTTGGAAGATAACATGCATATGTGTTAATCCTATATATGAACTGTTAACTTCCATTTCGATGTATCTGAGGAAGTGTGCGTGGACATGAAAGCTGATATCTTGACTGCACTTTTGTTGGTCCTAAAGGTGCCTTACTGGACTCAAAATTTGTTCTCTAGTTTCAGAGGGTCATTGTGCCGATCCGCAATAGAGCAGCTCGATTAAGTCCAGTAGCACCTTAAAGTCCAACAGGCGTTCAAGAGTCAAAGCTCCCTTCATCCAGCTCTTCAGCTTCGACACTCAAAAGATTATACACCCCCAAATCCTGTTGCTGTCTAGGGTACTAGTGGCCTCAAATATAGTGGCAAATACATATCACTGTTAAGTGCAAATGACTCGGTGGATTTCCCTTCTGGCAATTAAGGTTTCCAGTTGTTCACTCCGATGTCTTCCCTTGCAGGGGTGGGGTAGGATGCCAAAGTCCTACAATGAATGCTTCAGCCCCTCCACCTTCCTCCTCACCGGCATCCCTCAGCTGGAGGCAGCCCACGTGTGGTTCTCCATCCCCTTCTGCCTCCTGTACACCGTCGCCGTGGTGGGGAACTGCACCGTCCTCTTCATCGTCAAGACCGAGGCCAGCCTCCACGAGCCCATGTACCTCTTCCTCTCCATGCTGTCCGTCATCGACCTGGTCCTCTCCTCCTCCACCATGCCCAAGCTGCTCAGCATCTTCTGGCTGGACGACCGAGAGATCGGCTTCCACGTGTGCCTGCTGCAGATGTTCGTCATCCACTCCTTCGCCACCATCGAATCCGGGACCTTCCTCGCTATGGCTTTCGACCGATACGTCGCCATCTGTGCTCCCCTGAGGCACAAGACTATTCTGACGCATCGAATCGTCGCCCAGATCGGGCTGGCGGCCACCCTGCGGGGCTTCCTGTACATCTGCCCTCTACCCCTGCTTGCCAGGCGGTACACGTCCTTCCACACCAACGTCATTGCTCATTCCTATTGTGAGCACATGGCTGTGGTCATGCTCTCCTGTGAGGACATCTCCAACAGCAACCTTTATGGTATGATAATCGGTTTCTTGGTGCTTATCGTTGACTCTCTGTGCATTGGATTGTCCTATTTTCTCATCTTCCAGGCCGTGATTAGCTTGGCCACCGCGGAGGCCCGTCTTAAGGCCTTCAGGACGTGTTCCTCACACATCTGTGCCATTCTGGCCTTCTACATCCCCATCGCTGTTTCCTCCCTGACTCATCGGTTTGGCCACAATGTGCCTCCCCCGGTGCACATCCTCCTGGCCAACCTCTACCTCATCATTCCGCCCGTCTTGAACCCCATTGTGTATGCAGTCCGGACCAAAGAGATCCGACGGAGGCTGGCAAAGATGTGGTCCTTTGGCAGGGGAGGCGTCAAAAACCTTGTGTAAGCCTTCCTACTGCTTCATGGATGGGACAGCCTGTATGGTACAGCAGTCAGGAGTGGTGCACTCTAACCTGGAAGGCCAGGTTTGCTTCCCCACTCCTCCTCCACGTGAAACCAGCTGGGTGGCCTTGGGCCAGTCACAGTTCTCTCAGAGCTCTCTCAGCCCTACCTGCCTCACAAGGTGACTGTTGTGGGGAGAGGAAGGGAAGGCAATTGTAAGACGCTTTGAGATTCCTTGGGGGAGCGAAAAGGAAGGCAATTGTAAGCCGCTTTGAGATTCCTTAGGGGAGAGAAAAGCAGGTATAAAAACCAATTCTACTTCCTCCTCCTCCTCCTCCTCCCTCTACCTCTGTTTATGCTTCAATTCTAAACATAAGTGACCTACCAGAGGTGTGAAGGAATGATTCAGTTAACTCAAGATTCAGTTAACTCAAGAATGAAGATACTCTGAAAGCCCTAAATGAGCATAATGTGGGGAATTTGGACAGTGGCTCCAGTCACATTTAACTGAACGTACAATGTGCATTGGCATATCTGCATGTTGTCTGAGCACCTCCACATGCCATAATGTGCTGTTGGAGTTCAACATCTTAGCTTCCTGGGTTGTTTCTGTGAGATATTCTGTATGTGCTGTTTAGTCTCTGTCTGCGGAGGCTGGATGGCCATCTTTCCGGTTATGCTGTAGGGCTAACTTTCGGCGATGCTCCTGCAGAGTGCAGGGGGTTGGACTGGATGGCCTGCAGGGTCTTTTCCTACTCTAACGTTCTATGATTCTTGCTGTGTTTTAGCTGAGAAACACCAGGAATTGATCTTTCCCACCCCTGATTTCAGTGTGTTGCAACTTTTATTTATATACTTTCTTATGTTTATATATACATACATGATCAAAAAAGACGACTCAATAAAGTATTTTTATCTGATAGACATTGTTCTGGTTATTAACTACTTTCCACTGAAATCCTACCAGGCCTGCATTTGATATGGGAAGAACGCCAAAATTTACTGTTTTTGGAGAAGGTGGCTTCATGAAGACAGTTCTGGATTTTGATAGATCAAGCTGGGTAGCCGTGTGAGTCAGTCGGTAGAAGTAGAAAAGAGCCAGAGTCCAGGTACACCTTCAAGACTAACAAAACTTGTGGCAGAGGAGGAGCTCTCCTCAGTCACTGCAGTCACTTTGGTACTGGAAGAATGAGCCGTTATTCATGAAAGCGCCTCCCCTGCCACCAATTTTGTTAGACTTTAAGGTGCTCCTGGACTCTGGCTCTTTTCTACTGGATTTTGATGGCTCAGGAGCAGGGGTCATTTCCTGCAGGAGCGCTCAGGAGCGGAGCTCTGGCAGTAAAGAGCCCAGGGGGCGGGCACATGCAACAAGCCCCACATGCAACAAGCCCCACCCCCTGCTCCCAGCAGCCCTCAGTCAGAGCAAGAAGCAGCCAGGTAAGTTGCGGAGCCCCCCCCCAGTCCAAAACAGTCCAGTGGCACCTTTAAGACCAGGTTTTATTCAGGTACAAGCTCTCCTTCCTCTGCAAGGACAGATCTGCGCATTCCTCCCCCCCTCCAATAGCTAGCAACCCAAAACAGTCCAGTGGAGCCTGAGCGGTGGGTGTTGCCTTCTGACACACTTCTGGTGATGTCAGGGGTTGTGGCATACACAAATAAGTTATGCTAATGAGCTCCTGCACCTCTTTTTCTACGAAATGACCCCTGTTCAGAAGAATGTTTGAAATGCCTCTTTGGCTCTGAAGCCGACTGTGTGCTTTTGGGCACCCCTTCCTCTTTATCTCACAAGGTTCTTGACGGCTTTAGGCCAGTTGGTAACCCTAGGTTTTGGGGGTGGGGGTAGCCATCAAGTCTCAGCCAACTCATAGTGGCCCAGTAGGGTTCTCCAGGCAAGAGACATTCTCCAAGCAAGAAGTGGTTTGCCACTGTCTGTGTTGTGTAGTGGGTTCGACGCA